GTATTTCCGAAGTGAATTTTAGTTTGCTGTAGTATGACTGGATTTCAGATCAACAAGTCTGGTTCATATAAACGAATGGATCCTGATACTGAAACGGATCGCGATACCGAAACGGATCGTGCGGAAGCTAGCTATGCATAACTCATACATAGCAAAGGGCCGTTTCAGTTTAGGTTTAGTAACAGACTGGAGGCCCCTGGCGGAGTTATCGGACTTTCTGCACGGCCGAACCTGGCGGATCCTTCAAATACCATTCTTATAGGCGGTATATTCCAGCAGAAATCACGCTCTCAGGTGATACTGAAAGCCCTAAGCCTTTTCTACGTGGTCCAGCACGCCTGAAAGTGACTATAGCAGCAAACTAGACTAGGTTATTACTGGCTGCCTGCGCATATCGTATTACTACGGAATGTACACATGAATCTCATGACAATTCGTGGGTTTGGATTCAGCCTTGCAAAAATGCTCTTAGTTGATCTAGAACCTCTAAGCACTGGGCGCACTTCAGTTGATACCACTCCGCAACACTCAACAAATTCTGAATATTTTGTTCGTGGAGGTGAATTGCCATCTGCGACTCCCTGATTATAGTAGCCTGGTCTTGTATTTCCGCCTCTGCCTTTTCCCTAGCCTTCTGTTGGAAAATGACCGTTCGTCTAGATTGTTCCAACTCCTCCCGTAACTGATGATTTTCAGTTTCAAGTATGTCCATCCCTCCGCGTCCTCCAGACTATTCCTATTAGGGACGAGAAGAAACTCTTAGAGGTGCACTCACTATCACTGAAGGAACTGCAAAGAATTTCTGGCCTACTGCGTCACATAGTTCCATATATGCTTTAACTGAGTGCTTACTCAGGTGCTTTTCAAAGAGTGGCTTCAGTGAAGGATCAATGACTTCCCACTTATAAGACAGCTCCTCCGAAGACCGTAAACGGACATCAGAAGGCTGCACCTTAGTTCCCAAAGTCTCAACTAGACTATCTTATTAGTAACACATTCCTAATTTATCGAACTAGGCATACATATATGTTCTGCAAGGCGTGTGCGACATATGGAGCGCCATGAAGCTCGTTTCCTGTTTCCTGAAGTTTGAATTTCGTTTTCCATTGTATGCCGAAAGGGAATGTTAGGGACCGTGTCTGCCTTATATGTTTCTCCGCGTGCCGTTTAAGTTCCGTATATCAAAATGGAACGTCCACACGACTGAAATTCATGGAATTAATAACCGACCAAAAGATTAATAATATTAGCTCAACGTTCCAGACTTGGTATACGAGCACATTTGATCCTATTTGTCAGAAGTTTGCAACCCGCGGCGAGTAGATGGGAATGCTGAATAGACTAATATCAATACGTCCGCATCATTCTCTAAGTAATGTATTTAACACGTAGAGTCATCTTTCTTAATTTAGTCCGTCCGACAAGATAACTGTTCTTAATCTCAGAATGACAGGGTGTTAACATACAAACCTCCGACATAGCGTTAGAAAGGCTGACGCTATCCACTTCTCTCTTCTTCTCTTTCGGTCGGCTTCGCTCAGAATGCAATACAGTCTTTCTCCATCGATCCTCCCCATATAACCTTCCCAACAGCTTGTATATATATCTCCAGTTTACTAGATATCTCTCGCTATATATGAAAATAAGGCTTTTCATTCTATACAATAAATTCCACATGTGGGATAGTAGTATAAGTGGTGAATGTCTAACCATCAATGGCATTGTATTAGGCCGCCCATATTAAGTATTTGAAAAATGGTCCATTCGAACATATGGTGCGTTAACGTGCCCTCACGAGTGCTTTGTCTGAATACTATCTCTGAATGTCCACAAGCTAGGCTAACCGAAAGGACGAAAGGACTTGGTAGGCTGACCGAACGAACTCTTTCCTCCCATATGGGGCTCTTTTGGCGGCGGAACTGAGAAGCCATCAAAACCACTCTTTCCCACCACAGGGGGCTTCTTCGGCGGCGGAACTGAGAAGCCATCAAAACCACCCTTTCCCACCACAGGGGGCTTCTTCGGCGGCGGAACTGAGAAGCCATCAAAACCACTCTTTCCTACCACAGGGGGCTTCTTCGGCGGCGGAACTGAGAAGCCATCAAAATCACCCTTTCCCACCACAGGGGGCTTCTTCGGCGGAGTTCTGAATATTGAGAAGGTAGGGGAAGAACTCATTCCAGGCTGACCGAAAGGAAGATCTTTTTCTGGGCTAGGACAGTTCTTTCCCCGAGTCTCTTTTCTCGGAATGCGGCGTTTTTTCTTTGTGCCTTTTTTCTTCGTCCAGGCTGGATCCGTATTAGCAATATAACGATAAAGAAGTAAATTGACATACGGAAGATGACGTTAAATAGTCCCATGTTGCTTTAAATGGTTAGACTGGGCTTGAAACTTCGTTTAAATATCTTTAAATGATGATATCCTTTTAGTAGATGAGATTTCCGTAGTAAATGGAACTGAACGCGAGGACGAGTATTTATAAGTCAGCCCGACAACTTGGAGTTAATAGGCTTCCAGCGTAGTGGTGTTACCCTAAATTATAACGGTAGAGTCGAAACAGGCTCGCACGTCGAAACAGGCTCGCACGTCGAAACAGGCTCGCACGTCGAAAAGTCCCTTTGTTATTTGAATCGAGTCTGCGGGTCCAAAGGGGACCGCAGATTAGCTTAATCTACCATATGTTCAGGGAAAAATTTCCGGTGCTCTACTTTACCTTAAACCATCCATATATCTTTGCAGCAGCGAAACGATGTGAGATATAGCTTGCCCTATAACTGGGACATTTACTCATCTTATTCTAGAAATATGCTTGGCTCTGTCTCCTGGCAATGTGTTTGCTGCGTTAGCAAAGACACTCAATTCGTGAGAGTCAAAGCTATGAAGCACCAACCTGCATCTCAGTTTACGACATTTTTGCTGTTCCTACTTCCTACGAAGCGACATATCTGCATTCACACTATATGCAAAGCATGTGTTCAGACGCGGCAGTTTATGTTTCCGGACGAACAAATGAGCATGATTTGGAAGGCCAGAGTCCAGTCAAAATTCTCCAAGCCAATTCCTTGGAGAAAGCAAAGCTGGCATCTTTGGCTACCAAGCACGGAATGCCAAGAGATCAATCAACTGATAATGGATAGTGGGGAAGTCTGTCTCAGTATCTACATGGATGCATTCTTACTGTAATATTTGCCATCACCTATCTATTAGTTCAAATTGATTTAAGTTGAATTAAATATAAACCTAGTTGCGATATACGTATGTACCTACCGAGAGAAAAGGTGTAATCCCGAAAGTTGCCGCAGTCACTCCTTAATATATCATACTCTGTGGCGTCACTAGCGTATGCGGCTAGCTAAGGATAGATTGCCGATCGGGAACTTTTGGGCTGTATAAAATTAGCTTGATGTGCATTTACGCACGGACCGCGTGTTGCGCAGGTAGGATACAACGGGGCATCAAGAGAAAAATTCCTCGAACATATACGTCATATATTAACGATCCGTTTTGGGTTCGCGTGTCCTTAAATTGGATTCAATTCCTACCCCGACCACATTCTTTGTTTATTTTACTCGTTCCCTCATTTGCGAGCAATGGATAAATATTTCAATCGACGTACCCTTGAACCAATCACTGAGGAGATCACACCAACAGATCATGACATCCTACGTCATGGTGGCACATCTTCCAATATAGAGAGACTCCCCTCTCGAGTTCAACGCTCGAAGCTATCATCGCCAGATGCCAGACAAAAGATCGAAGATTTGGCTTATGAAGTGAGCTACCTGAAAGCCGAGATGCAATGGGAGAAGGAAAATAAGCAGATATTTTTGCAATTTCATCAACGAATGTTTGATATTTTTCGGGCTATGGAAGACGCTCTTACACAAACATGTATACGAATGGAAGAGTCAGAGAAACGATATCTTGATCTCTGGGATATTGAGGAGCCGAGTCCAGCGGGGGGTTTTATCTAAAGCAGAATCTATCTCCAATTTAAGCAAAATGATAGGAGACTTTCCTTTTTGTTCTTGTCTTTTTCTTTCCTCGAGTTCTACAATCGGCCTGACTAGTCAAATTCGATTCAATTCGGGGAAAGTAAGCAATAAGAGACAAGGTAATCTACTAGGTATGATCAAACTGAGTTTCAACGTGAATATATTCTGCTACCAATAAAGCAAAAACAAAATTCAGCTTAGCTAATCTGTCACAATCTCAACATCGGGAGAAGAGTCTGATCTCGCAAGTCGCCTCTCGTACTCATTCAGTTCTCTGATGGCTTCCGCTAACGCCGCATTTAAGTTCGCTGCTAAAGATTCGCGGGCCTGAAGAGTGGATTGAAGCGAAGCGATGATCTCTCTTTGAGTCACGTTCTCTTCAATGACGGCGAGCTGTCTCTCTTGGGTGTTATCCCAAAGTCTGTCACGAGACACCGCTTTCTCAATAAGTGGACCGAAACTGGCAACCCGCGCCTCTAACTCTTGAACTTTCTGTCGTTCTAGAGCTAGCTCGCGCGCGATAGCATCAGAAGCTCCAGCAGCGGTTCTTATCCTCATATCATGCTGGCACTGCAATCCGTCGATGGTTTGTTGTAGGTGGATAGAATAGTGCCACACCCGCTGATATGATGCATTATCACTCCGGATCTTTGCTTCTAATTGAGATTGGTAGACCCTTGATCTTTGATCTTGGGAGATCAATCTTTCAACCAGAGCATGCATGTTGGATTGATAGGCTTCCGCGGGTTCAGCTCCCTAGTCTGTGTTAGATACCATGCTGAATCAAAAAACAATGTTCGTACCTGGGGGGACTGGACTGGGAAGAACCCTATGTCTTTTGAAGTGGGGGTTTTAGGAGGGCTCATTTCTCGTTTCTTTAAGGAGAACTGCCTCGACTTCGGCGGGAGAAGCGGACTTAAAATAATAAACTCCTCGGATTATATGTAATAAGCCAGAATAGAACGGTGCTTGCCTCGAGACGAGCCAAAAACGGCACGTTGAACACAATAGGAACGCTCGAGCGAGCTGAAAATGGTACGCTTACGCTAAATAGAATGGAAAAAGGGACTGATCGATTATGAGCTTTCTACGATGAAAGAATAGACTGATAGGGGGATTCTTATTTGGAATTCTAAAGAAAAGAAATGTTTTATTTTGTACACAGCGGAACAATATATTCGACTTTACCAGGATTGAATAGTGCGGAAGTCTCAGCCCTATGTGACCACCCAGTCGTTCAAGTTCCATATCGGCTAGCTAAATCTCCAAACTTGCTCATTGCAGCCTCTTCACGTCTGATCACACATTGGAAGATGCCCTCCAGCCGCATAACAGCATTTGAAGTCTCTCCCACCCTTTCCTGGCACTCATCAATTCGGCCCACCAGCCTTTCCACACTGAGGCTTAGAGCTTGGAGCGTCGTTTCAAAGTGACTAATTTTATTTGACAGGTTTCTCACGTTGGAAAAATGTTCCTCTAGCGTATGAGACGTCGAATTGATCTGCAAGGATTCCGTATTTCCTGAGAGACTTGAAACGATTAGCGTAATATTAAACATTGGGATTAATAAAGTCACCTTTCCGATGCAGAAGGTGTCACCCTATCTAAGTGTTAGCTAGGTACTCTTTGCTGGATGCGGAGGGTTTCCGTACACATTCTGACCAAGCCCAAATTGGCAATAGCCAGTTGGAGTATCAAAGATGCTAGGATAGCCTTCAGGAAAAGTAGTGCCGTTTTCATCCTGGGTCAATAGTTCCATGAGGTCTGCCTGTGTAACAGTGGGCGAACCATAACTTTGTTGCTTGCCTTTATCAGATAGGGTGGTGTTGAACTCGTTGAAGGTCTCGGATGTCGACATCTCGAATGAGTTAGGGAATAGTGGTTGATAGTCGAGGGTGAGAAGGGGCTGTTTCAGGGCATTTATATTTCGTCTCCTATGCCGTGCCGCGTGTTAGTGGTCTGAGAGAATCCTGGGCGCTGTTGGTATAATCCCAGTCATTGTTGGTATAACTAAAATTGTGATTGGCTATATGTGTAGGCTGCTGTCTCATTTGCCCCACTCCCCCCCCTTTTACCCCGGTAAGAAAAGCAAATCTGTAAATCTTCGGTATATCTAGGGTGATACGACGACTCCGTTCGTTTGTAATCAGAACTAAAACAGGTCGGCCAATATGAGGATCACCAACTATATCTAGAGGAACCCTCCGAAATATTTCTTGAACAATAAAAACCTTTTAAGAATGCCGCAAAGAAATAACGTCGGTTGGTTTGATGTTGGCATGCGAGACGATGAGAGAGTGGCTGTTGGCGAATATAGTCGACTCAAGGAAATAGCGAGCGAACTCGAAAATCCTCAGAGTCAATGTCCGATGCTCTGTGCATTTCTTGGAAGAAAAAATAAGGACTATGCCCTTCAACAGCTTTTCCCTCAGAATAACATTAAACGACATGACTCTGAAGCAAATATAAAGCTGCGCTCGGATATAGTCTCTTCAAATTCTGACTGGCCGGTTCTCTTTGCTGATGGTGATACCGGACAGGGGAATCACCCCCCGACGTCTAAGAGACTACAGCCTGCCGCCCGCCCGGTTTGGTGGGATTGTAAGTCGGGAAAATCCCTGTTACTGGTAATCTGGGCTCGTCTCGTTTTTCTGTTTACAGACGTTATGTGTATTTTTGTCGAAGACTTTTCGGGCCTGGATGAGGTAGTAGAATTCTTGGAGTGCTGTGTCCGACTACAATCAGCATCCGTTCTGCCTCACGATATCCGGCCACGAATAATTCTAGCTTTCCAGGCGACCACGGAACAGGTATCGTGGGGCAGGCAGAAAGAAATTTGTCAAAGGCTACAAGACACAGTACAGGGAAGCTTTGATTCAACCTTCTCCGGTGTTCATGCGGTTTGGTTGGCCGGTGGCTGGCTCTCTGAGACTGCCCGATACGAGCCATTGAGAAGTATGGTCGCGGCACAACTAGACAGCATGAGAATTGTTCGGCAAAGACATAATATCTTGCTCAGTGCCAACAATTTGATGGCTTTATTTCAGACTGCACTTGACCACACTTTACAGGATATCGAGCGCCCATTTGAGCTCATTAGAGCTACCCGCATAGGCCGCGAAGTGAGCCCGTGCCTGATCCCCAACCTGACCCACTATTTTAAAATTGGGGCCCAGCCGGAGAAGCGGCTAAAAGACTTAGCGCCGTCTGTTGCGTCAGCGTTATTTATGGACCATTATACGCCTGAAATGATCGGTATGACTAAAACTGTTTGATTGAGTTTTAGGTATTAACGGGGGAAATAGGGCTCGATCCCCGTATGGTGTTCTGGGCTCTCTATCGGCCCGCAGTGATCGAAGCGCTAACTGAAAGCAAAGACTCGTGGACAGAGTTCTGCCCAACAGCTTTCACGGCAATGATTGAGTATCACATGGATCTACTCTTTACGCGTTTCTCTAGAGACATAATATCATCTATAGATTTACGGAAAGAGCAATTGATATCCCAAAGTGGGCAGCTGTCCAGTATCAAGAGCAACAAGATTTGTTTATATTGTCTCTTTCATTCTGCCCAACACGTGCTGGCATGCGGTCATACAGTATGCGATCGATGTGTCCAGGTTTTTGGAACACCTATGAAAGGGTTCGAGTATCGCTTCGTTGTGAAAGGATGTCTCTACTGCCTCTATCAACGGCCGTTAATCGCGGACATCCTACCGCCAACGATGAGCCCCTCTATCCTTGCCATCGACGGTGGGGGTGTGAGAGGGGTTATTCCCTTGGAATTTCTTTTCTTGATTCAAGAAAATTTAGGAGATTGCCCATTACAGGACCTCGTCGATCTTGCCATTGGTACAAGTTCAGGTTAGTACGAAGTGTGTATTGAAGCGCCTATCATACGCTTATCGTACGCAGGGGGTCTGATAGTTCTTGGACTATTTCTCATGCGCTGGGATGTTCCGCATTGCGCTAAGACCTTTGACCAATTGGCAAGCCGAATTTTCCAACAAAGGCGCCAGTCAACCTTTCCTTGGCCCGCTAGGCAGTCGATCTTGGGCAATATGACAAGGTGGATACAGTGGCTGCTTCATGATAGCTGTTATGATTCACAAATCTTCGACACAGCGCTCAAAGACGCTTTTGGTAAGGATCGGCGTATCTTCGGTGTTTCTCCCGATGATCCTGTTGGGTCTTTATATGCGGGGTCGAAATTTGGGGTCGTGACTACAAGCATTTCCAAAGACACAAGCACATTTGTGATTGGGAATTTCAATCGATCTCATAGATCATGTGATGATTATGGTAAGGGCTCGGGTTTATAAACGTTACCAGACAAGATTTATTTGCTGACTGTATATCCGCAGAGTACGACTTAGTGCGACCTCAGGACCTCGAACATGAACCAAAAGCGTGGCAAGCGTAAGACTCACACCATATCCCCACCAAGTTCCATTCCGGTACTAATGCGCCGTATAGGGGGAGAGCTACAGCCGCGGCTCCTTTGTAGGTGTTCCTGTTTCTTGCAACGTGCATTAGTGGAAAATGCGAGCTGACGTCATTGGCTAGCTATTTTACCCCTATAGAGCTTGGAATCGGTACCTTTCAGGACGGTGGCCTGAAACATAACTTCGCTGGTGAAATCGCTAAACAAATTTCCCATCAGATTTGGCCATACTCTAAAGGGTCTACTCGAATGCTATCACTTGGCACTGGAGCTGCGGAGCCTGAAAGCAACCGTTCCACCCCGCATTTCCGTCATATCTTTCGTGACGGATTTATGCGCCGGGGATTCGATGCGTGGATGTCTTCTATGGACACCGAATGTGATTGGCGAAAAATGAAGAGCCGTATAAACGAAGCAAACCGACCGGATTATCATCGCTTGAATGTAACGCTTGGGGGGTTGCCTAGCAACGTTGATGCCGTGGAATCAATGGATGATTATCGAGACCTTGTTCTGCTTCAGCCTGGAAGCGCTCGGATGGCCCGGGAAGCGGCGATCACCTTCCTAATTTCTCGATTTTACTTTGTTCTGAGTGGCGAAGTGGCAGATAACTCCACCGCACTAACTTGGTGTCGCGGTACTATACGGTGTAAAGGACCAGCTCGACGCGTGATCATGGCTCTCCAGCGGCTCCACCCAAAAGGCCTTAACTACACCTCGGATTACGGAATGGTTGGTATTTTTGCCGGGCTTGATGGACTATGTTCATCTTGTGGATGCTACAGCCATCCGATTGCATTCCTGGTACGTCATGTTGACCAGGTAATCAATATATATCTCCGCGCAGATAACAAGAGGCAGTGGAAAATCAACGGCTTTCCAGAGACTCTATCATCACTCATCGTGAAGCAGGGCTTGAACTCATCCTTCGGCCAAGCTGATCATGGATACCCGAGCAGAGCACCCTGTATAACTTGTGATATAGCAGAAGATAGAGTTCGGCCCAAGACTCAAGATAGGCGGCGCAAGCGCGATTCGCAAGGTTCTCAGGACAAAAGACGGAAAAGGATTTGTAACTAGCGCGTGGCATTATCTGTCAGTTTATATATCTAGCCTCGACTCAATTTTCCCTGCGTTCCCACAACAAAAGCCTTTCAAATCGTAACACACCTAAGTTAACAGCAACACGTTCTACACCATGGCCCCCAGTCGCTTTGATCCGCACAGAAAAGACCGAGCGAGATATAATAAGAGGACACATACGCTGATTTCCAAGGCGCATGAGCTAGCGACGCTCTGCAACGCTGATGTTTATCTGATCATGAGCCATCCTCGTGGCACAACAGTTTACAACTCAGCCGCAGACCCTAATTGGCCTCCACCGGATCGTGCTCTCGTGCGTACTTTCACTTCTTTCCTACAGTAACACTTCGACTGATTAGCGTATAGGAGCTCCAATTTCCGGATCTGAAACGAGAATCCCAAGCCAGTATGACTGGTCCTGTTACCGACCCCGTTGTTGAAGATTTGAAACGGCTCTGTGGGTACTTTGCCCTGCGGGAAAAGTTTCTGAACGAGGTATCCACTGAGGAATCCGTAAAATCACCCAGGGTGAGCAAGATAATAGCGTGATTTGCGAGCCGTTTTTGGCTCCGTGCTTTTGGCGGGTGTGGGGTGAAAGTATATAACAACTAAACATATCTATTCAAACCCATAACGTTCTATACACTTTACCAAAATGCTCTCAATTAGCTATATGAGATCGACCGAAGAGATATATTCTATAACGATCGGAGTCATTATTGTATCTCTCATTCTTTATCATCTTGCCCGAAACTTCTTCTATTTTCTATCATCCAAGCTTCGGCGCTTTTTCCTAGTTCATATTGTCTACGGACGCTCGTATGCTCGGCTCTTCGGCCTACGATCGATTTCGAGGCTTCAACTGGCTATCGTAACTATATATGTTATTGGAAATGCTGCGGGTAACCTTATTGGAATTCACTCGGTAGCTGATGCCAGTAAGCGAGCTGCGAGATTATCACTTATCAATCTGATGCCAATGTTTATGGGCGGGGGCCATGAATTTGGAGCTCGTCTGCTGGGAACCTCTCTTAAGACCTATGGAACCATTCACCAAATGTTCGGATATGTTGCCTTTGCGCAGGGTCTCGTTCACGTAATAATAATGGCGCGGACGCAGGTCATATCGTGGTCAAATGGACCCCACTTTTACGGCCTGTTGGTAAGCTCGGTGTTGATATGGATGCTCCAGGTCTAAGGCTTACCGTGATATATAGGCCGGAAGTTTGCTCCTCTCTTTGGTCGTTTTGCCGTTCGTCAAAAAGAGAGTATATGAAGTATTTATTTTAAGTCATTTAGGCTGTGCAATTGCTCTCATTTTCGCGATTTGGAAGCACACCCGGGGCATGTCTGGAAAGTCCTGGGCCTACGCCTTTGTATACTTGTGTACTTTCTCAGTCATAGGGCTCCTGCAGGGTGTTCGGATCTTATACAGAAACTTCGTCATTGGCAAGAGTTCGGTGCGACTTCGTCTTCGTATTTATAAGGGGGATGTTGCCCGCATGACTCTATCCTTGCCCCGGCCTTGGACCGTGCGTGCTGGTGAGCGAATTAGTCTAGGAATCCCGTATGTTGGGATCTTTTATCTGTTTCAGTCTCATCCTTTTACTATCACCTGGTGGGAAAGTGACAGCAAGGGCCGCGCAGTCTCTATTTCCGTCTTGTTTCGCCCTCGGTCTGGCTTTACGAGAAAGGCAATAGAGCGCATTGTGCCAGAACAGGAGTGCGGAGCCTGGATTGATGGTCCATTTGGTCCTTCATCTGTTCACAACATCGGATGGTCCGGTGCCGTCGGTGATTATGGTCATGTGTTTATGGTTGCGACAGGTATCGGAATCGCGGCTCAACTGCCATATCTGAAGGAACTTCTAGACGGCCATGATAATGCCCAGGTTCGGACACAGAAAATATCTCTGGTCTGGCAAGTTCACCATGAAGGGGATTGGGAAAGTGCGCGGGATTGGCTACAAAGCCTTGTGGCACAGGACAATGGTTATGTAAGTATTGAGTTATTCACGCTTGTTCCCATTCGTTGAGCTAAAGTAGTTGCAGATGTTACACGTCACAGTATATGATCAAATGCAGTCACAGTCGGAAATTCCGGTACGACACATCGGAAAGAACAACCTCATCAAGATCTATGGCGGTGTAGTGGATTGGGAACAACAGCTGGATTCAGAGATGAACAATCAATTGGGCAGTCTGCTAGTGACCGGTATGGGCCTCAGTTCTGTCGCCGGCGAAATCAGATTTAACACCTCCACAGTTTCCGCACAATACCAAGTCCAACAAAAGATCAGACAACTAGTCCGAGCTCGTGTCTATCTTGGGATCGAGATTTACGAGCAAGAGTTCCAGCCATGGAGCGAAACGGGAAGCTTGCGAGCGTTTTTGACACCCTAGAAGGTTCCCACTGATATTGTACTCACCCTATAAAGCACACGGAAGGCAAATAGGGCAATTGAAAGACCGAGAAAGCGTAGGAAAATGCACGGCAAAAGGAAAGATGTTTGATAGCCAGTCTAATCAAGGTAGTTCGTATGGTAGTTTCTTGGATTTGCAACTTTTAAAGTGTTTTAATAGTCAAACTTGGCCGGTTCTAATGCGGGGGTCGCAATTTTAGGATGTCTAATGATTTCTATCTCCACGAATTACACTAGAAATGAGTAGTAGCCTACAATCAGCCCTTTCGGACAGACTCTGGACTTCCAACCGAAAGAACAGCACTACGACTATCGCTCGGGAACTTCGCGACGGAGGAGCTCTCCCGAGGGCATATTGGTCTCGACTGCGAGATTCTCATTACATCGAAGCAGCTTTCTGATTTTCTTTCAAGCGCCGAAGTAAGGTAGCAGGCATAGACGCAACAGCAAGGCTCAATCAATCGACTACTAACGTAGATAGATAAATGATATAATTTGCATTAATCAATTTATTTCTCCACTGGAAGAGGAATTTGATACAGACGCGCTCGAAATCAGTTTCACTATTTTACTCTCTTTGATTCTTTCTCGAACTTAAACCTGAAACACGCTAGTCCATGTTTGGTTTGAGCAATTCCAAAATCCTGAAACGTATTGTAATGAAAAATCACACGATGAGCTACGGTGTAATCTATTGGAAATAACAATACGATTGATACCCTATAACTCGACGAACAACCACGCGAATACTGACAGCATTCTTTCTCGCGGAGGGTGAATAAATACGTCTTAGCCGTGTTTGCACAATTACCACTCACAGCTTACAGCAAACAGATACAAATTACACATATTGCGTTTTAGACAGATCGAGAACTCAACCAAAACAACGAGTCTTTCTTTCCTATCGTCGCTTGAAGGTCACCTGACAGCGGGGTACTTTGACGACTTAGCCGTATGCTCGCCTACCTCTTCTCAAAATCAGGCTGCAATGATGGCATATACGACATCATATGACGGTTCAAACTCTGGGATCCAAGTTGGGCAGAATCTTGGTCATATCACTAATCAGTTCCGTAGGTGGGTACACACAATTCTATTGCAACGTGACTAATCTTGTTACTGCCTTAGTACAATCAGAAACATCATTGAATCAAGCGTGCCTGCGGGATCTGCGGACGACCAATCCTCACCATGACAAAGATCGTATCCAGAACACCAACGGAGGCCTACTCAAAGACTCGTATTGCTGGATTCTAGACAACAAGGAGTTTCAACAATGGCAAGATAACGCCAGCAACTCTCTCCTCTGGATCAGAGGCGATCCGGGCAAAGGAAAGACAATGCTCCTCTGCGGTATCATCGATGAGTTAACACGGTTGTTTGGGGACACTGCGAATATCTCGTTCTTTTTCTGCCAAGCTACCGACGTGCGAATCAACAACGCCACAGCTGTTCTTCGTGGCTTAATATATTCGCTTGTTAAGAAGCAGCCATCTCTTCTCGCCCACGTAAAGAGTCAGTATGACCACACGGGAAAAGCGTTGTTTGAGGATATAAACGCATGGAATGCTCTCTCGAGCATCTTCACAGATATATTGAAGGACGCGACCTTACCGAGCACCTATTTGATTATCGACGCGCTGGACGAATGCACAATAGGCCTACCTTCCCTTCTCGACTTGATAACTCAGGTATCGTCTGCTTACCCTCAGATCAAGTGGATTGTCTCGAGCCGCAACTGGCCCAATATCGAAGAGCGTCTTGACACTACCCACACCGCACCGATCTCATTAGAGCTTAACGAGGCGTCTGTATCTGAAGCTGTGAGCAATTTCATTCAACACAAGGTTCACTACCTGGCGAAAGTGAAGAAGTATAGCGATGAAACTCGTGATACGATCTGCCGTCACTTGTCATCTAACTCGCAAGGAACTTTCCTTTGGGTGGCCTTAGTCTGTCAAGATCTTGATAGAACATCGCGGAGACACGCTCTCAAGAAGGTGGAGGCCTTTCCTCCTGGACTGAATGCCTTGTACGGTCGGATGATCGATCAGGTTCGCAACTCGGAAGATGCCGAGTCCTGCAAGCGAATACTGGCTGTTATGTCCATAGTGTATCGGCCTATCGTGTTTGACGAACTTGTCTCTCTTATTGAGCTACCTGATGATCTCTCTAGTGACTTTGAAGCTCTATCAGAGATTATCGCGATTTGTGGTTCGTTTTTGACTGTGCGCGAAGACACTATCATTTTCGTCCATCAGTCTGCAAAAGATTTTCTACTCAGAGAGGTACTAAATGAGGTCTTTCCTAAAGGAAAAGAAGCTGGACACTATGCGGTTTTTTCGCAATCTCTACAATCTATGTTTAAGACACTTCGACGCGATATTCTTGACATCAAGTTTGCTGGATATCGGGTTCAAGAACTGAGACAACCCGGTCTAAATCTATTAGCAGCTGCACAATACGCTTGTGTCTATTGGGTTGACCATCTTCAGGATAGTAGGTATGATAAAAATGATGATTTTGGTCTTGACGGAGAATGCGTGGATGCTTTTCTGCAGCATGAATACCTTCACTGGCTCGAAGCCCTTAGCTTGCTAGGAAGCATATCTCAAGGCATAGCAGCATTGCTTAAGCTTGCTAGGTTAATTGTGGTGAGTTATTCTTCATGTGCCTAGAAAGGTCTTCGCCCCTGACAATACAATCACCTTTAAGGAAAAGAGCGGACCAAAAGCCCTTTTGCGTCGGGTTCAAGACGCTTCCCGATTCATTCAATACCATAGAGTGGCAATTGAAAGTTGCCCTCTTCAGGTATATAGTTCATCCCTTATCTTTAGCCCAATGCAGAGCCTCACGAGAATATGTTATCAAAAGGAAAGATCGGATTGGGTTTGGAATGAGCCATTGTTAGAGAAAGATTGGAATCAATGTCTCCAAACCCTAGAGGGACATATCGATTCGGTTAACTCGATTGCTTGGTCGCAAGATGGAAGCCGACTCGCATCGGCGTCAGCTGATACCACCGTTAGAATCTGGGATCCAGCCACGGGCCAGTGCGTGTTAACTCTCGCGGGGCATAACAATTCAGTTAA